AAAAAATTCAAATTTATAGTGATTTGTCCCCTATCATACTGTCTAAGAGATGTACACTTTGTCCACTTACTCTCCACCATCAGAAACATTGCATTTTATACAGATGGGGCTTTCCATTCAGGTTAACCATAACCAAAGATATCACTAAACACACAATCAAAGAAGGAGAGGCGTTTCTGCATAACTTGGGCCTGCCACCTCTCTTGGATGAAGTTTTTGCACTACCCTTACCTAAGCCAAAAGCGGTCAACACTCCTAACAAGATGTGGATCCTGGCAAGATCCAGAAACAAGGCACGCCTTCTGATTCCTCAATGGTCTCCTGCCTCCTGGTTATCTTCTAATATCTGATGACGTCATGCAAATCGCAGCTGCTGCTATCTAAGTCTCAATGTCTATAGACATGTTTTGACAATTTTGATATCCTTTTGGAAGAGAGGAGTGAAGTTACCGCCAGGTTTTCACCCTCCCTATGACCCTCCCTATGTCGTCCCCAAACATCTACAGCTATTGCTGTGGATGATTGGGCAGCCTCGATTGCCCTGGCCTCCTCCATACTTTGGTATCCTACTATGTTTGAAAATCTTTTTTAGATTTGTTTATTCTGTGTATGCTAGTTTTTCTGAGACATACTGGATATGTCTTCCTTATTCTTTGTTTTTTGTGTTATTCTTTGTTAGAACAACATACCGTATTTGTCGGCGTATAAGACGACTGGGCGTATAAGACGACCCCCTACTTTTCCTGTTAAAATGTAGTGTTTGGGCTATACTCGCCGTATAAGACTACCCCTCTTCCAATGCACACCAGTGGGAGGAATAGTGCCCCATCATTGGTATCAGTGGGAGGAATAGTGCCCCATCATTGGTATCAGTGGGAGGAATAGTGCCCATCATTGGTATCAGTGGGAGGAATAGTGCCCCATCATTGGTATCAGTGGGAGGAATAGTGCCCCATCATTGGTATCAGTGGGAGGAATAGTGCCCCATCATTGGTATCAGTGGCAGGAATAGTGCCCCATCATTGGCATTAGTGGCAGGAATAGTGCCCCATCATTAGTATCAGTGGGGGGAATAGTGCCCCATCATTGGTATCAGTGGCAGGAATAGTGCCCCATCATTAGTATCAGTGGGGGGAATAGTGCCCCATCATTGGTATCAGTGGGAGGAATAGTGCCCCATCATTGGTATCAGTGGGAGGAATAGTGCCCCATCATTGGTATCAGTGGGAGGAATAGTGCCCCATCATTGGTATCAGTGGGAGGAATAGTGCCCATCATTGGTATCAGTGGGAGGAATAGTGCCCCATCATTGGTATCAGTGGGAGGAATAGTGCCCCATCATTGGTATCAGTGGGAGGAATAGTGCCCCATCATTGGTATCAGTGGCAGGAATAGTGCCCCATCATTGGCATTAGTGGCAGGAATAGTGCCCCATCATTAGTATCAGTGGGGGGAATAGTGCCCCATCATTGGTATCAGTGGCAGGAATAGTGCCCCATCATTAGTATCAGTGGGGGGAATAGTGCCCCATCATTGGTATCAGTGGCAGGAATAGTGCTCCATCATTGGTATCAGTGGGAGGAATAGTGCCCCATCATTAGTATCAGTGGCAGGAATAGTGCCCCATCATTGGTATCAGTGGCAGGAATAGTGCCCTATCATTGGTATCAGTGGCAGGAATAGTGCCCCATCATTGGTATCAGTGGCAGGAATAGTACCCCATCATTGGTATCAGTGGGGGGAATAGTGCCGCATCATTGGTATCAGTGGCAGGAATAGTGCCCCATCATTGGTATCAGTGGCGGGAATAGTGCCCCATCATTGGTATCAGTGGCAGGAATAGTGCCCCATCATTGGCATCAGTGGCAGGAATAGTGCCCCATCATTAGTGTCAGTGGGGGGAATAGTGCCCCATCATTAGTGTCAGTGGGGGGAATAGTGCCCCATCATTGGTATCAGTGGCAGGAATAGTGCGCCATCATTGGTATCAGTGGGAGGAATAGTGCCCCATCATTAGTATCAGTGGGGGGAATAGTGTCCCAACATTGGTGTCAGTGGGGGGTGGAATAGTGCCCCATCATTGGTGTCAGTGGGGGGTGGAATAGTGCCCCATCATTGGTGTCAGTGGGGGGTGGAATAGTGCCCCATCATTGGTGTCAGTGTGGGGGAGGAATAGTGCCCCATCGTTGGTGTCAGTGGGAGGAATAGTGCCCCATCGTTGGTGTCAGTGGGAATAGTGCCCATCGGAATAGTGCTCCATCATTGGTATCAGTGACACCAATGATGGGGCACTATTCCTCCCACTGACACTTGCTGACCCTGTTCTCGTATGGTGCTGCTGCAGCCAGCATATGTGGTTGCAGCACCACCTCTACACTGAACACTTACCTGCTGGTCCTGCACTCGATTTTCGTGGGGCCGCTCGGCTCCGCCCCCTCGCCGGTGATTGGCCGCCTGTGTACCTTACCTGAGCTACAGTTCTGGTGGCCAATCACCGGTGAGAAGGTGGAGCCGAGCAGCCGCACGAACATCCAGTGGCCGAACTGAAGGAGCAGCCGCGCTTCCTGGACCGGATCGTCGTGGGACCGGAGCCAGGTAAGAAACAGCCCCTGCCCACCCCTGTACTTAGTGTCGCTTCCGTTGGAAGGGGGGGGGCAACGGCGGCGGCAGCGCGCCGCCCCCCTAAAAAGTGTCAGTATGCCGTATACCGGAGTATAAGACGACCCCCGACTTTTGAGAAGATTTTCAAGGGGTAAAAAGTCGTCTTATACGCCGGCAAATACGGTAGTTTATTTGTCATATCACCCTGCATACAATTGTTTCAAGTTCAAAACACACCAACATATCTTTATGACTATACTCTTGTAATGTTAAAGGTTTAAATTCAATGAGGAAGAGGTCGATAGCTCTTAGGGAATTCTGTCAGTCTAAAGCTGATATTATTCTTATCCAGGAAACACATTTCAAAAAGAGAAGCTCATTTAACTTTGCTCTTAAGTATTTTCCTATAACATACTCTGCTATGGGTAGCACTGGTAAAGAAGGTGTTGCTATTCTTATCAAGGAAAGTTGTCCTATCTGGGTGTTGTCCTCTGTACTAGACACCCAGAGCAGATTTTATACTACTGCAATGTCAATATGGTGATGTCTATATTTCAAATATTAATGTATACGCTCCTAATACTAATCAATTGGTGTTCTTTAGAGATTATATATCCCCACTTTTAGCTTCTTCACACCCCTTCACGATTATTGGTGGTGACTTTAATTTAGCTATATCACACACACAAGATAGGAGATCCCTTCGGGGCCAATTGCCCTCAAAACGTGTTTTGAAACAGTTCACCTCCTTCCGTGAATGGATCAGGGGACATAAGCTGTTTGATATTTGGAGAGTACAACACTCGAATGCTAAACAGTTTTCGTCTTTTCCCCAGTGCAGCACATCTACACCAGATTAGATTACTTTTTGCTTTCAGCCCCCCTACTTAAACACACAGTAGGCTCCTATATTGTCCCCAGCTCCTGGTCAGATCATTCTTTTTTGGCTTTAGATCTATTTGTAGATCGATCAAATTCACATGCATTCCATTAGTGCCTGAATGACACACTCTTAAGTCAAGCGAGTGTCAACACTTCTATTTCGAAAGCATTGCATTCATTTTTTTAACTCAATAATGGATCTGTGCCAGCATCTTCAACTCTGTGGGAAGCTCATAAAGCATTTACTAGGGGTAATTTTATAATGGAAATTTCAGTTCTTAGGAAATCCCTGCTCCATCAGAAAACTGATCTTATGAACCAATTATCACAAGCAGAAAAAAAACTTATCGATTCGCCCTCCCTACCTAAACTTTGTTTAGTGGTACAATTTAAAGGTCAACTTAAGATACTTGAGGCCAGTTCTATAGCGCAGAAAATGTTATGGATGAGACCGAAGTTTTATCAATACGCTAATAAACCTCATAGGATGTTGGTTAATAAACTGAAAACACATTCGGCCACTTCCGCTCCTGAATTTTTGTTTCAAACGGATGACACCCCCACATTTTTCCCTCAACAGATAGCCCAAGTGTTTGGAGACTTTGATCGTAAGCTTTATAATTGTCTATCACCAGACGTACACCCCAGTTTCCATAGAGATTCCTTTGATGCTTTTTTCTCAGCTCTTCACCTCCCTAAGCTTACCGTATTTTTTTTCGCTCCATAGGACGCACTTTTTTCCCCCCAAAAAAGGGGGGAAAATGTCAGTGCGTCTTATGGAGCGAATGTGGAGCGGCCGGTCCGGTATTTCCGCTGCCGCCACCATGTCAGAATACTGGGCCGGCCGCTCAGCTCTTCTCTCCTACAGAACCTTACCTGTTCCTCTGTCCAGCGCTGTAGTCTTCCCACGCCGGCTTCTGTGACAGCCGGGTGCCCACTGCGCATGTGCGAGAAGCGCTGCGCTTTGTCAATGGTCTGGTGACTTCTGGGACACATGACAGGTCCCAGAAAGCACCGGGCCATTCACAAAGCGCAGCGCTTCTCGCGCATGCGCAGTGGGCACCCGGCTGTCACAGAAGCCGGCACGGGAAGTAGCCAGCGTGCCCACGCTAAAGAAAGGACAACTTCAGGTACCCGCTCCCCCTCCCTCCCCAAAGGTCCGCAGTCTCTTGGTCATCCCCTGTACTGTCTGCAGTCTCTGGTCATCCCCTGTACTGTCTGCAGTCTCTGGTCATCCCCTGTACTGTCTGCAGTCTCTGGTCATCCCCTGTACTATGTCCGCAGTCCCTGGCATTTTCCCTGTACTATGTTCGCAGTCTCTGGTCATCTGTACTATGTCTGCAGTCTCTGGTCATTCCCTGTACTGTGTCCGCAGACTCTGGTCATCTCCAGTACTGTGTCCGCAGTCTCTGGTCATCTCCAGTACTGTGTCCGCAGTCTCTGGTCATCTCCTGTACTATGTCCACAGTCTAGTCTCTGGTCATCTCCTGTACTGTGTACGCAGTCGCTGGTAATCTCCTGTACTGTGTCCGCAGTCTCTGGTCATCTCCTGTACTGTGTCCGCAGTCTCTGGTCATCTCCTGTACTGTGTCCGCAGTCTCTGGTCATCTCCTGTACTGTGTCCGCAGTCGCTGGTCATCTCCTGTACTGTGTCCGCAGTCGCTGGTCATCTCCTGTACTGTGTCCGCAGTCGCTGGTCATCTCCTGTACTGTGTCCGCAGTCTCTGGTCATCTCCTGTACTGTGTCCACAGTCTCTTGTCATCTCCTGTACTGTGTCCGCAGTCGCTGGTCATCTCCTGTACTGTGTCCGCAGTCGCTGGTCATCTCCTGTACTGTGTCCACAGTCGCTGGTCATCTCCTGTACTGTTCATCTCTAAAACCTAGGTGCGTCTTATAGTCAGGTGCGTCTTATGGAGCGCAAAATACGGTAAAAAAAAAGATAGATTAATCTTGAATGCTCCCATTACTATGGAGGAGCTATGTGCAGTTGTTAAGGCACTCCCGTTGCACAAGGTGCACAAGGTGCTGGGCCCAGACGAGTTTTCTTACACATATTATAAGCAATTTATCACAGATATAGGCCCTGCCCTGTTGGAATTTTACTCCTCCCTGCTGAGCGGAGAAGAGCCTCATTCGCAGTTCCAACATTCTCATATCACAGTCAATCCCAAACCAGGCAAAAACCTAATGACCCCGGATAACTACAGGCCCATAGCATTATTAAACATGGATTATTACTACGAAACTTTTAGCTAATCGTTTAGCTCCTTTGCTTCCCAAAATCATACTCAATGATCAGATGGGATTTATCTTGGCAAGTGTCAAGGTCCTACCTTTTCCCTGAGGTTATGTTACTCCATGTGCTGGCGTCCATCTTGGATTCTGCTGTGCATGGTGGGAATCTTTTTATGCCTTCAGGTCTCTGAGGTCCATCCCCAGAGGGGCGTGGCTGATGACATATAAGCCTGTGGCCCGCACATGCTCTTTGCACTTGTGTCTTGTGTCTTGGTGTTGCTATTACTCTGTTCTGACTCTCGTGACTCTCCTGGTATCTGATTCGGCTTGTGACTTGACTATTCTTTGTATTCTCCTTTGATCTGACCCTCTGTTGCTGAACCCGGCTCGTGACCTGTGATTCTCGTCTGCTGTCCTGTACTGTTTTGTCCTGTTGTTGTTGACCCCCGGCCTGTCTGACTACTCTTTTGTCTCTTCCACCAGCTACATTGGCGGCGGCCATTACCGCAGCTGAGGTGTCTCGGGGGCCGCGACCTGGTTCCTGGCTGCGTCAAGTCCATCCCCACCATCAGGGGCCCTGGTGAAGGGCAGCCTGGGACTTAGACTCCGCGCCCTGAGGGACTTCGGTCTGTGGGTGGTGGTTGTCGTCAGCCAGTGCGTTACATTGTTAGGCCTGCCTGTCCGTTCCTCGGCTCCTGCCCTGACAGCAAGACAGGCAGGAGACAACACTAAGCGTATGATTAATTTGGTTGATATACTCAATGGCTCACGAACACCAGCTCTATTGTTAAGTTTAGATGTTCAGAAGGCATTTGATCAGTTGGGATGGCCCTATATGTTTGAACTATTGCAACATGTGGGAATACAAGGGTCTCTTTTTAAAGCAATTACAACACTGTATTCAAGACCCACAGTACTGGTTAAGCTTCCCTTTGTCACATCTGACACTTTTCCCATGCTCAACGGAACTATTTGTGTTGTGCCTTGAGCTATTGACAGTGGCGATCAGAGCACACCCTGACATAGCGGGAGTGACTGTGAGGGGGAAGGAGTACAAACTCTCACTTTTTGCAGATGACGTTCTATTGACTATTACAAAACCACACTTGTCTTTGCCTACTTTGCATAAACTTTTACAAGCTTTTAGTGACTTTTCTGGCTATAAGATAAACACTTCAAAAATGGAAGCTCTGCCCCTCAATATCCCATCCCAATACCTTTTACTGCTCCAACAAATCTACTCTTACCACTGGTGCATGTCATCTACTAAATATCTTGGCACTCATATAACTCCAACTTATGCTCATTTGTTTGAAGCTAACTCTCCCCCACTGTTTCAGGAAATCTACACTCTCCTAAACCAGTGGGATGCCTATAAGATATCTTTACTGGACAGGGTGATTGTGTTAAAGATGTCAATTTTACCAAAGTTGCTTTACCTTTTTGAGACCCTCCCAGTGGCAATACCACAAGCTCAACTACACACTCTACAGCAAGCATTTCTTAGATTTATTTGGCATGCCAGAAAGCCTTGAATAGCAAGAACGATTCTCATGACATACAAAAACAATGGAGGTCTGGGGGTACCAGATATTATCAAATACTATTTAGCCACTCATTTGAGACAAACACTATCTTGATTCACCCAAGAACCCTAGAATAGATAGTGTCAGGGATCCGGGTATGACAAGAAATGTGTGGGAACACAGGCATAGTCAGGGCTGGAGAGGTGGAATGGTCAGGCAGGCCGTATGGGTCCGTAATGCACCGCCTGGCGGTACCTCTAGCAACCCACGGAATAGGAATCCCCAGAGTGCGGAGTCTAAGTCCCAGTCTGCTTGTTCACCAGGGCCCCAGATGGTGGGGATGGACTTGGAGCAGACAGAGACCAGGTCGCGGCCCATGAGTACACCCACCTGTGGTAGAGGGATCCGCCAGAGGTATATTCTGGAGGAGAGCCTGACGTGAAGAGGCAGATGGGTCAGTGCAGGGCGGATGGATGGATGAGCAGAAGCGTGGTCAGACAGGCCGGGTCGGTAACGGTGGGGATAGCACGGTACAAGGCATCAGGCACAGAATAGTCGGGTCACTCGCCGGGTCAGTAACAGGAGATCAGATCCAATGAGGGTATCCAAAGAGAAGTCAGACAGGCCAGGGATCAGGGCAGGAGAAGTCAGCAGAGGTCAGGATCAAAGCAGGGTCAGCAACAAATCAGATAGGCAGATATGCAGGAACACAGGATACCAGATACAAGGGCTCATGGGAAACAAACACCAAGGCACTGATTGCAGGCCTGGTCCTGCTTAACCCCTTCACGCCTAAGGGTAAAACAAATCTAAATGCCTAAGCACAATTCTGCAACGTTGACGTGTTAGTAAAACCGTACATATCGTCACAACTACTTTGTACATCCAGATGGATTATACCTTGTTTTTTTCAGGACAAATTGGGCTTTCATTTGGTGGTAAATGGTAATGGATAGCTCCTAATGTTTTTTTTTATTATTAAAGGAAAACTGGGCCAAAATAGTAAAAAAAATCTTTTTTTTTAATTTAACTGTGTGTTTCTTGTTACGACCATAACCTACCACCAAAGAACAACCCAAAATACATTCTCCAGTTCTTGACGATCGCAGCGATACCATATATGTGTATGTTATTTGTTGTTTGTACCCGTAGTACAGTCCAGAAACAACAGTGCGCATTTTGTTTTTGGTCTTTTTTTTATTTATTTTTTTACATAAAACACACTGTCACTGACATTGACATTAACACTAACTGACACTGATACCAATTTTTTTAATCCTGACCTTTGACCCTGACCTTTGCCCTTGACCCTGACCTTTGACCCTGACCTTGACCCAAACACTAAACCTGGTACTGATCTAGATCAAACCTTGATCTAGGTATTTGTCTTTATTTTTTATTTTATTTTTTAATATTTATTTATCTTTTTTTTTTTTTTTTTACAAACTTTTTTTTTATCTCTCTATGTCAGGAGTTCGAGAGATACAATGTATCTCTCTTCTCCATTCATAGAGAGAGAGAGAAAACAAGGGGGCCGGACTGCACAGTGATTGATCACTGTGATAGCCAATCAGAGGCTATCACAGCGATCACGTGACCCGGAATCGGGAGTCCCGGGTCCCGATCGTTAGAACGGGACCCGGGGCTCTCAGTGACACCGCGGTCTTGGTGCTGGGAGCGCGCCGAGCGGCGCGCTCCCAGCACAAAGACAGGTACGCAAATATGCGGCCCCACGGAAAAAAGCCCAGGTCCGTGAGGCCGCATATTTGTGTTACATCGGCGTCAAGGGGTTAAATAGACCTCCTGCAATCAGCCTCAGGTGATGGCTTGATTGCAGGAGTGAGACCCTGGCTGCTGAAAGCACCCTCTGGTAGGAGCTGGTACTGCAACCCACAGAGCAAGGGAGCCACGCCACCACCAGTGGTGAGTCCATTCCTGACAGGTAGGCAGAAATTGAATTAGGATATATCTATTCGATCCACACATGTTCATTGTTCCTGTCTCCTCCTCCCCCTATGCTTGACTCTATGAAATTCACCCTCAAAATTTGGTTGGCCTGTGTGAAATCCCAACAGTTATTGTCTGTAAGCTCTCCATTGTTGAATGTTTTGTATAATCCGGAGCTCCCATATAGTCTGTCTTACCCACAGATGAGCTTTTGGGCAACCAATGGGCTATTTCAACTCCGTCATCTGATCAATCTGTTTTTGAGAAGGATTTTGTCATTTGAGGATATTATGGCATGGAAACCCACAAATCCTGTATCAGCCAGATATACCTAATTACAGTTCCATCACTTTTCCATGCCTTGAACTCTTCTCTAACACTAGGCCACCCCACAGATTTTGAGAGGATGGCTGCTAAAGGTCCTTCCCAACAACATCTTATTACCTCTTTATATAAACTACTCCCCAAATCTGTTTGACAGGTGCTGGAGGTGTATGGGAGGAGTAGGCACCTTGGCTTACATTTTTTGGTTTTGTCCACAGATTATGGGTTATTGGGCTATGGTTAAGATGGTCTTAGAGCAAATGCTCAATGTTAACCTTCCTCTAGACCCATTACACTACCTTTTTGGGACTACCCTTTAGGCGTATTTCTAAGTGGGTCTAAGAGGTTGGTAATACATATTTTGATGGCTGCTAGATGGGTGATATCATGACAATGGAAATCAGTCGATATCCCTACACTAAATCATCTCTTAAGAGCGATCTCTGAAATCAGAGAAATGGAATATCTTACAGCTCTAGTTGGTGATTACTCAGGTCATTTTCAATCTATTTGGGAACCATGGGATCATTCTCCCTTTAGTAGACTTCCTTCCTCCCCCCCATTTCTCCCTCCCCCCTTTTATAGCTCAGGCACCTCCCTGCTTGCTAAGCTTCTGACAAATAATGTAACCCAACAATGTGCGGGTTAATGTCGTTTTGTGCTTATGCATTGTACAGTTTACCATGCTGTCTAATTATTTTACATTCACATTTCTTTTGTTTATGTTCTTCTTTATATTGACTGTGATTTTCTTTTAATGCAACGTTTACACCTAAAGTGTTTTTGTAACTTTGTATTGAATAAATGGGCTTTGGCCTTTAATAAAAATGTACAATAATAAAAATAATATTCTTCTTTGGATACT